GGACACTTGAAATTATTTAATGTTAGGTTTTCCCTCCTAAAAAAACCTATTCATCAAATAATAACTGCATTTTTGGAAATTAGTGCATAGATATTATTCCACCCTAAATAATGTATATAACTCTTTCAGACTAAATAACATATAATTAACACTCTCACTATGGACTTGGTTGAATCAGCTGAGTTCATGACCCCAAACTGACCTTTATAGTTTGCATACTATAACCTCTAATATGCTTTATGTATCTTTATGAAATTTCACAAGCTTTCAGTAAGCATTAAGTCCTTTGTACACACAAAATCAGAAGTTTTAATGAAGTATTTTCACTACAAATTTCTCCATGAATATACGAAGTTAAAGTGTTGAAAGCTCCACGCCCAAAGTGATTTTCATGTTAAAATTAAAAATACTTTCCTTCATCTGAAATTCCTCAAATTTCATTTGCATAACCTCTAAAATTGTAAACATTTCTTTCAGTAAAACTTTATATTTTATCCATTATTTTCTCTGCACAAACTCTATATGAGGTTGATCAATTTGATTGACCACATAACCACCAAAAAGAAAAAAAAGAAATAAATCTAAATTACCCTTTTTCTTTCTAAAATGACTTCAAATTGTAACATGAAACTGTATTTTTTATCCTAAATAGCATTAATCTCATAACAGTATACATGTGTTTCTACTTAAATTTTGTCTTATTACCCTTTGAACCCTGTCTAACTAATAATCCCACCACACAAGTTGTAAATCACTTGGCAAACACATAGTTCACGTTATCTTCTTGAATTACAGTAACACACAAATTACTCATGAGCTGCTTGCATGCATACCTCATGAAAAAAAATTTTTTTTTAATTTTAACTAACCTAAAAGTTTTCCTATTTTTTACCTTTTACTTACTTTTATAATAAATGAAGAATACACATGAAAAACAAGAAATATATAACTTACATGGGTCTTCTTTTTTTGCTATTGTCTGTTAATGAAACTTAACTAGTTTTTAGACTAATTGTACTACTGCACTAAATATTTTTTTTATTTAATTAAATAATGCACCAAATAACACCAAACAATAACACACAAAGAGCAGACAATGTCCTATAACTATCACAAATCTTCTGTCTTTCTAACTATGCGACAAGAGCTGTTAAAATTCAGCCAAGTTGTCAATGTGTTTTCCACGTGAATAAAGTTTGAACTAGAAGCAAAATAGAGAATTCTCTGTACAGAAAACAACTTGATATGTCATTTGATAGATTAAAACTCTGGCTTTCTATTGGTTATACAAGAGAGGACTATCGTCAATTTCTGAAAGAAAGTATGTGACATGTGGGCATGACAAGTGAGTCTGATTTTCCAGTGTATGGCTCCATATAAAAATAAGTTTGAAGACTATAGAAATTATGCTTTGCCTGAACAATGACAACATTATAATAAGTAATATACATTAAATTTCATACTTTTTGGAGAGGTGGTAAATAAATTAGAGAAAGGGAGAGCCTAGAGAGCAAATGTCATGATTCTCATATTAGGGGAAATTGAGGATTTTTTTCAATATTGCCTTATCAAACTAAGAACTTAAAGCTTATATAATACTAAAATATGGATAATTACCTATGCTTTTGATGCCAAGTTTATTCACATACCTTGATAATAAAGTACTTTAATTAAATTTTGAATGTAACTCAGTAAATCCTTGTGATAAATGTAGAAAATGATGTTTGTATGGAAAGTTAAATACTTATGTAGCTTATAACGTTTAACTTTCTCCACAAGGGCTCAGTCAATTTGACCAACCACATGACCTTTTTGTACTAGTATAAAGTCTTTATAGATTTCATACTACTAGCTTTTGATATAGCATATATTTCTTCACAAAATTTGGCAGTCTTTCAGTAAATATTATAAGCCTTTCACATACAAAAAATATCATTTTTAGTGAAGTATTTTTAATAAACTAAAAAAAAGATTTTGTCTTTGAATATATCGAGTATTTGTTTTGAATAGTCTGTGTGTACTGATTTTCATGTTAAGATTAAAAATACTTTTCTTCATCTCAAAAATCTCAAATTTCATTTGTGTAATCTCCAAAACCTCCTAAGTATATTTAAAATGTTTGTTTTCAGTAAAACGTTATATTTTAGCTGTTATTTTCTCCACTCTAACTATACACAAGGTTGGTCAGTTTGACTGACTTCGTAACCACCACCACAAAAAAAAATAAAATAAATAAATAAAAAAAATTGCAATAATCTATTTGCCCTCCTTTTCTTTCTTGAATGATTTAAATGTAGCATGAAATTATATTTGTTTATCCTAAGTAGCGTTAAACTCGTAACAGTATACATCTTCTTATAATTAAATTTTATTGTTTTATTGCCCTTTGAACCATGTCTAACTACTGCTCACACCATTATAAGTTGTAACTCACTTGGGGGACATTCAGCTCATGCTTCGCTATTGAATTACATTACCCACAAGCTACTCTGCTCGCATGTGTGCTTTATGAAATATTTTTATTATATTATTATTATTGTTTATTTTACCTTAACTAACATAAGAGATCTCTAATTTTACTTTTTAGT